TTTGAAAATTTCAAGGAAAAAGTCGTAGATCCAACCGCTTCCGAGATACAGCCTTCCGAAGGTGAAATTTCGAGCAGTTTCAGAATCGAAGAACGAGGATTCCGCGAGCGTGGCCCTGTCGTAATTTAAAAATCATACGCTAGATTAATTAATTATTTCTCATGATATAATGTTTGTGACTTAAGGCTATGCTATGCTGTCCTTCTCTTGGGCAGGAGCGGAATCTGGAATAAGGGAACCCCGCGCAGTAAAATGTATGTCTCATGATGAACTTTATTTATATATTTTATAGGTTTAAGAATTGATTTAATCTTATGTTAACCATAAAATTTAAGGTTACATTTCTACTGTACTTACTTGTGAAAGTTTATCGTACTTGGGTTAAAGTATACGTCTCGCGATAGCCCACACATAACACAATGAATCACCATTTTTTACTATTGAATTTTTATAAATGCAACTACTAAAAATGATAGAAAAGGATAGAACGATCCTCTCTCGACTTGCTCTCTCTTTCTATTCCCGGTTCTACTTTCTGCGTCAACAGTGAACAGTCCAGTACTATATGTCGATGAGGATGGGATCATACGCAGTAAAGTGACGCGTCGTAGGAAATTTCAGTAAATCGCGAGTGAGTTTTGAAAAATATGGTGTAAATTCACGTTTTAATTATTTATTCCGTTAAAAGTGAACGTGTGATCCAGTTTTGATGTGGTGAAGAAGGGGTGAGTTGAAATAATCATAGATTTATGGCAGGGGGACATGGGAAGGGTTCTTTTGTGGGCCTGTTGCGTAGAGTTATCTAATTTAAATAGAGTTGTCTAATTTAAATTGATGTTGCTTGCAGAAACTTCGTAATGGTGTTCGAGCTTGCAATGATTTGGGATGCCCTTCCGGGGCTAATATGACGGTTCAAGTTTCCGAAAAATTCTGACCAGAGAAGGACGGCATGGTCACCAAAAATTGGCGATGATATATTAAAAAATACTGCATCAGAAAAGCACACAGGTATGACAGAAATATTTATTATAACCTCACTCGATTCATTGGCTCTCTTTATTCGAT